ACTGAAATACATGATTCCAAGGGCAGGTCACAATTCCAGCAGCTCACAGGGAAGTCCCTAAATCCTTTTTTTATACCCACTTCTTACGCAGGACCAAATTTTCTATGTGAGGAACTCTCAGTCCCATCTGACTACATCATATTGTGGCTTTGAAAGCATCTGAAGCTCGTACCGCTCTGGACCAGGTTCAAGGCTAAAGCTGACAGAAATCCCACAATATGATCTTCAGGCTGCCTTCTTACAGCTCACGGTGGCACAGGAATAACCTACCTATTAGGAACACTGAAGGAGGAAAGACCAGTGTCAGCTAACATGGCAGCCTCCAAGGCGTAAGAAGTCCAACAGCAGCAGGAATAACTTGGTGTTGATCATTTATCTTAAATTATAATGCATAAGTCCTGGGGATTTCTTTTGCCTCTTTCTCATGTTGGATCTCTTGGTTTTTTGGATTCCATTTCTTCCTCTTTCTTGGCTGACTCCTTTATTGTGTGAGCCCATCCTCTAGGACTAGGTTTCTCAACTTCAGCACTATTGACATTTTGGGCCAGGTAATTCTTTGTTATGTGAGGTTGGAGGGGTGAGCAGAGACTTTTAAACAATAGGAGTCTTGTAAACCTTTTAAAAGAGATTGGAATTTATCCCCAAGACAGTGGAGAGCTACGGAAAGGTTTTAAGTGGCAGAATAACGGGGCTGTACGTGCACTTTAGCAGAATCACTCTACCTACAGTTGGGAGACTGGATTGCAGGGGCTGGAGTAGAGGCAGAGAGGCCATTTAGGAGACTGTTACAATCACCCAGATGAGAAGGGATGGTGCTGTATAGAAGTAAAGGAAATGGGTAGGTTTGACAGCTACTTCTGAAACAAAATCAAGAATATTTGGTTAATAATTTGATGCGGGGGGAGAGGACACAGTCAAGGGTAATTCCTAAGTTTCCGGTTTAAGTACTGGACGGGAGCACGGTGTTGCTGTGTCACCGGATGAGGAACACTCTGGGAAAGCAGGTTTCAGGGAAGATCAGAAGTCCAGTCGCGACATACTCAGGAAGTAACAGTGCTGAGGGACGTAAGCAAGATGGCGGAATAGGAAGCCCAGGCCCTTGTCCCCCATGGAAACACCAGCTTAACAACAACACATGGACAAGTTTGCCTTTCCGAGAACTCCGGATGAGAGGTTGCAGCACCCATGAAACTGCCCTTCAATAATGGGGTGCAAAGCAAGAACTGTGGTAAGGGCCTAGCTAAAAATAATAATTAGTAGCTGCCCTCCTGTAATTGCCACTCCGGAACCACGCAGCTGGTGGTCATAAAGATTCTTAACTTTCACCATAGCTGGTGTCCATAGAGATTCTTAACTTTCTCTGCAGATAACATCACCTTTTCAAAAATCTAAAGGTAGATTTTACGACATCTTCCAGGCCTGCATTCCAGTGGATCGGCTGGCTCACCCAGACCAGCGGCCCATACCAGGCAACTGACTCAACTGGGAACTGTGACCTCAGGGACTGAAACAACACATGAAGATGATTTCTGCATCCCTATAATTTTGCCCCAATTAACAAACCGAATTGCCTAATTCCTTGCCTGCCAAACTACCCTTAAAAACCCTGTCTCTCAAGTTCTCGGGGAGGCGGATTTGAGAAATTTCTGTCTCCCGCTTAGCACTGTGTGGAATAAAGACTCTTTCTCCTGCTGACTCCGCATACTGGCTGCTTCTTGGGCAGCGGGCAGTGAACCTGGTTGGGTGGCAACACCCAGAGGTGCACAAAGCCAAGAAGAGAAGCAGGCACCTGCACTGAAGCAGGTAGGAAAATGTATGGCATTTTATCTTCCCTTGTCAAAGAAAAGCTAGGACAATTGTCTAGTTAGAGGAAGGACAAGGAGGGATTTATATACAAGGAGTAGGGGGGGCAGTATGAGTGGACAGAAAATTACTAAGAGGAAACATCAAGGGTAGGGGGACATTCTGATGAAACTGATTTGACAGGATTCTTGCTAAAGACAGGCCAGGGTGATCACATATTGCCTGGGGGATGGTGGAGAATGAGGAATTTTTTTTTTGTAGAGACAGGGTCTCACTATGTTGCCCAGGCATGTCTCAAACTCCTGGCCACAACGGATCCGCCTCCCAAAATGCTGGGATTACAGGTGTGAGCCACCACACCCGGCCCAAAGAAGTTGATCAGAAATCAAGGGTGATCACATATCAAGAGTGGAGGATTCTTGATAAACTGATTTAGCAGGATTCTTGCTAAAACTTCAAGATGTGGTTTTGTGATGAACACAGAAGCCCAAAGGTCAAGGCTTAGTTGCAAAAAGGGTTCAGAGGAACCTGACAAAAGTTTGGTGAAGGAGGGATTCTTTGTTACCCCAGCCACTTCCCCTCCATGGCATGCTGTAGTGTGATTAGGAAAAAAATTCCAACTCTTATCTTCTCCCTCAAGAGGGAAAGAGAAGAAGCAACCACGAGTCCAGTGTTCAGGCTCTTCAGGGGCCTGCCTAAGGGGCAGGTTTCTGTCTCTTCTGACTTGGAGTGCTGATGACAACAGCGGTTTTGATGCCAGGCTGGGGTCACTAAGAATAAAGGTTTGCACCACAGCTTGTATGGCAACAGAGAGACTGTAGTCAGTCAGACAGATACCAGGGGCAGCAAGAGATTATAGGCTCCAGATAAGAAGCAAGTAAACCTCTTTCACTGGGAAATTACACAAACAAGCCCAGATAAGATGCATCACCACAAAAGGTTTGAAAAATCCACAAAATCTCTAGCCAGGTTGATTGGTGAAAGTCTTCCCTTGTATAAAGCCAGTTTGACGTGCCCAAAGCTTAAAAAAGCATACAAAAGCATACAAAAAAATGGGGAAATGTGGCCCAATCAAAGGAACAAAATAAAACTTCAGAAACTGAGCCTGAAGAGATAAAGATATATGAATTACCTGACAAAGAATTTAAAATAACCATATTGCTTCTCGGACTTTTGGCTAAGATCAAGTGTAAAAATAACCATCTCAAAGATGTGCCATGAGCTAAAACAGAACACAAACAACTAAACAAAATCACAAAAACAATGCATGCACAAAATGAGACTATCAACAAATAGAACCTATAAAAAAGAACTAAACAGAAATTCTGGAGCTGAAGAATACAATAACTGAATGGAAAAATTTACTAGAGGGGTTTGGATTTGACTAAGTAAAAGAAAGAGTCAGCAGACTTGAAGATAGGTCATTTGGAATTACTGAGTCAGAAGAACAAAAAGAAAACAGAATGCAGAGAAGTAGGGAGAGCCTAAGGAGCTTATGGGACAATATCAAGTGGGACAATATATGCATTTTGAAAATCCCAGAAGGAGAAGAGAGAGAGAAAAGGTCAGGAGCCTACTTGAAGAAATAATGTACAAAAACTTCACAAATTTGAGTAAATAAATGGGCATAAAAATTCAAAAAGCTCAGTGAACTCCAAGTAGGATAATATCAGAGAGACCCATATGGAGACACATTATGATCACATATTGTCAAAATTGCAAAGAGGATCTTGAAAGCAGCAAGAAAAAAGAGACCCAACGCATACAAAGGAGCTCCTATAAGATTATGAGCAGAAACCCTACAGGCCACAGGAGAGCAGGATTACATATTTAAAGTGATTTCAAAACAACAACAAAAAACAAATCCTTGCTGACCAAGAATATTATAGCTGGTAAAACTTGCATTCAAAAATGAAGGAGAAATTAAGACTTTCCCAGATAAACAAAAGCTGAGGGAGTCCATCACCACTAGACCTGCCCTACAAGAAATACTACAGGGAGTCTTTCCAGTTGAAATGAAAGGATGCTAGAGAGCAATATGAAAACATATGAAAATATTATATAAAGCTCTCTGGTAAATAAATAGACAAATATAGAATCACATAGTACTATAATGTTAACGTATAAATCACTTTTAATTCTGGTATAGCATTTCAAAGATAAAAGCATAAAAATACTTACCGCTGGCATCCCTTCTCATCGGCTGGCAGCATATGTCTGACTGGTCTGTGCTGCAGCTGTCGTGAGGCATCCTGTCGCCCTGCTCCTCTCTATCTGGCACTGCAGAAGTAACTTTTCCTGGTTTCTTCTTCCTTATGCTGATACTAACCTAAAATAAGGAGGTCATCTTCTTCATTGGGTTTATTTCTCATATAAGACCTAGACAGAGTTCTCTTACTTTGTCTTTCTGCTCTTTATCTAGTGAAAGGAATGTTTCCAAATACAGGCAGGAACTCTTCCCTTTTTCCTTTATTTAATTTCAATGCTCATATTTAGATCACTATAAACAGACGGTTTGTAGCGACAGCCGAGGGCATTAGGCGGGGCATCAGGGTATGGGAAGTCACTGAAGGTGAAGGCAGGACAACCGTTAAACACGACTGAGGGAGTCCTGGGCATCTGGGGAATGGCAGCAATGAGAACAGGTGGGGGTGTAGCCAAAAGACAAGAGAGTCAAAGAAATCCATCTGGTTTTACACAAAGGTAGAGGGGGGATGGCCTGCAAATGGTTGTGTAAGTGGAAAGCGACTTCACACCTTTCACAAAACATGACTCAAAACGATCATAGACCTAAATGTAAAATGCAAAACTAGAAAACTTCTACCAGATAACACAGCAGACAAGCTAGATGACCCTGGGTCTGGCGATGAGTTTTTATATGCAACACCAAAAGCAAGATCTGTGAAAGAACTGCGTGGGACATCCAGTTTCTCTAAGTGACAAGAAGTGGACCCTGGCATCTGCAGACCCAGGGGCCACACTGGGGAGTCCGCACCGCGGCCCTGCAGACAGGCGGTGCCAGGAGCGCGAGTCAGCCAGAGGCCCTGCCTCCTCCCAGCTTGCTCAGTTCAGCGGGCGGCTGTCCACAAGACTCCTGGACGGGAGACAGAAACGAGCCCCGACGACCATCCGCATGTGTCTCTCATCACCTTAGAACTTTGAAACACAAAAAACTGTAATATCGTAATTTTCATTTTATTATTGCTTGTTAGTTGGTTAAAACAATCCGTTCTGCTTCCATTTACCTTATTTTAAAGGGACTGATTGCTACACTACATAAAATCATAATTAAATTTCATGACAGGCATTTATTAACGTTTGATTATTTTCTACACAGAAGCATGAGAAAAGCTTAAAATCCAAATCCAATTTCATTCGGTTCAGCCTTGACTGTAATGAAGGACTCTGGGAAGAGGAGAAGTGGTGTTTATGGGCTGAAGTCCCAGCAGCTGCTTGGTGGCAGAGTCCCAGTCTTTACCCAATTCAAGCCGTGGGCAGATGGATGGATACTGTCCCTCAGTTCTTCTTACCCATTCGTGCGCTTTCTTTATTGCCTCGAAATCCCAGGGAATATTCCTAGGTTAAAAAGAATGTTTCCATTGATTTTAGAATATAATTACATGTTAAAGGTAACGAGGTACTAAATCTATCACATTATATTGGACAAAATGATTCTGTCAAAAATTAAGATAGTTAACACATTAACTGCTGTGTGAGTTGTATTTAGTTTTGAGCCCGGGGCCTCGTGAGGCATATGTAACTCACACGCCTCTTTACCTTGGGGGCTGCGTGAACTGTTTTTCAAGTTGCATTATAACTCACGCACAGAAAACAATAAAAAGTAACACATTTTTCATTAAATTAGAAAGGATCGTTTTGTTTTCGAAGTTTTTATTCTATTTTCATAATAAAACACCGTGGTCCCAAGGAAAAATTTTTTTTCTAGTGTGGCAGTCAAGGTGTTAATAAAAGCAGTTCTCCTTGACATTTTAAGAATGTTCTTCTTTCTACCAGTCTAACTGCTTGAGCTTACTCTCTGCATCGCCAGGTGTGATCGCTGCCCGCTTCCATGTGCCGCTTCCACGACAACTCAAGCTGCTCCCAGCCTCTGTATACTTGTTTATTGTTGTCCCCTGTCTACCCTTCTGGATCTAAATCCACTCTTCTTCAAGCACAAACCCGAGTACTACTTTATAAATTAGGCTGCTGTTTCTCTCTCCTTTCCATTGTACCAGGATTTCTCAGCTTGATCAGGGACTGGCAGAATCCCCGAGAGTCCCCTATGAAACTGGCGTACATTTACTTGTGTATCATAAGCCAGGAACAACTTACTAGTAAAACGTGCGTAACACATAAACATCACGTTTGTGTCCACAAAATGATGTGCACACAAATGAATATTCAAGACTGTCAAATACTCATGTTTATTTAAGACTCTGAAAAATTCTGAGATTTTTCATTAATATTAATTAGCTGCCTCCTCATTTGTTCTGTCATCTGCTAGAAAGTGTAAGTGAACAAGTGGCAACATATACCAAAGTTTGAAAGAAAATTCTATGCGGGGGCTGGGGGACTTCACATTTTGAAGCTTCCCCCCACGCTCCTGACTTTTCCCCGTGCCCTGGGAAAGGGCCATCAGTACAGTGTGGCGGCTGAGAGCTGGGTTTGAGTCCGGGCTGCAGCCACACGGTGCTGGCTGAGCGACACTGTGCAACTTTCATTCAGTGCTGCGAGTCTCCGTTTCCTCAATGATGACACTAACATGAGTCTTATGGGTTTGTTGTGGGAACTAATAAAACTCATGAATTTAACATGCTTAACAGCCCCTGACACAGAGAAAATACTCAGTAAGTGCTGGCTGAATGTCGTGATGAAATGAACATACGAAATGATAAGCATGCCTAAAGTGTTTAAAAGACTGACATTTCCCAATAATTATGAGTCTACTTATAGTTACTAATTGCTGAAAGCAATAGAACTGATTTTAAGTATTTTCACTAATTCAGCTGGCCTTCTTTTAGTCCAGTTGGCCTCTAAACTTTTTGGTTGACTGTCTAAGTAGGAGGAAAATCTTGCTTATACACCCTGATGTAATGTGCATCTTAAAACAGAAAATATAGGGGAAAAAATTTAAAACAGATGATAAACAGGAAATAAAAATATTTAACATAGTTTTGTCTTATTTATTAACATACCACCAAACCATTTTGCTCACACAATAGCAGTAATATAGTAAGAGCAATATGCTGGAATATACTTCATCAATTTTGAAAATCTTGGTTTACTACTTTGTGCTAATCACAATTCTAAAGCAGGCTGGAAGTTAATCCTTGTTCTAATGGCTGTCAGAGTTGGGAAAACTCTACATAGAAGAAGGACCTCATTGGATATGCCCATGAAATCAAATACTAAGTTTTTAGTCTCATCCACCAGTTGTTCAAAGTGGTTTTTCTTGATATTTATTTAATAAATTCCCACCTTTCTCAAGGAGTTGTTTTGGCAAACTAAAGAGGTGTTGCTTTTTAAAACATGGAGGTATAAATTACATACAATGAAATGCTCAATTTAGAATTTTCTGAGTACCTACTTTACGTTTGATGCTGTTGGGAATAAAGAATTTAATCAGTCTTTGTGAGAGTCTAAAAATAGTTCTACTTATTTATTTTAATTTTACCTGTAAATATGTATCTCAAGGGGTAAGAATTACTTTTAAACATGACACTTAAAAATACTTATCAATAATTCTTTTTTTTTTTTTTTTTTTTTTAGACAGAGTCTCACTGTCTTGCCCGGGCTAGAGTTCCGTGGTGTCATCCTAGCTCACAGCAACCTCAAACTCCTGGGCTCAAGCGATCCTCCTGCCTCAGCCTCCCGAGTAGC